GTGGCCCCTCTCCCTCTACTCGCAGGTATCGCATTTTCAATGACCCCTCTGGAAGACAACTGTTTATAGCAGAGATAGTGTAAACGGGAGAGGGGGAAAGGGCTGAGGGTCAAACATAGGATAAAAAACATATATATATGTATACATATGTATGAAAGTAGAAATGGAATAGTATTGGTGATAACATGCTTGATTAAGACACTATGCAGTTTATCCTAGATGGGAAACTACATTTAGTGTGTTGTGATGATGCTCAGGGAATGAGTGTTAGGTAATATAATTTAATAAAAAAAAAAAGCAGGAGGAAAAAACAAAATGCACATTTGATGACTGCAGCGAGGTGTATGGACACAGCTGGGTACTACTTTATAGTATGTTCATTCTACTCACGGGTTTATGCCTAGGGTCAGATTTGGGTACATGTATAGGTATGTTTCAGCTGTGCTAGCTATTGGATATATTTAGACTAATTGAGTTCATTGGCAGAACAATTGAATGGGGGAGGCGGAAGGCATGGAGGGCTACCATGGATGCCAGGGACAATGGAGGAGGAAGATGGGACATGGCAGAGGGTAGGGGATGGGGAATCAGGGATGGCAAGACAAAGGGCAAGGTATGCAGGATGTAAGAATTGGAAAATTACTTGCTGAGAACATGTATGTTGATGTGCTTGATTGAACCAGTACACAGTGTATTTTGGATGGAAAATTAAAAAAAAAAAAAAATTACTTTAATGGGGCCAGCAGATGCATAATGGTTAAGTCTCTGGACTCTCATGTAGCTGACTGCAGTTTTAAGTCCCGGACCTGGCAGCTTAAAACTCATGCTGAGCACGTGTGCACACGTGCCCAAAATCCCGAGAGAACAGAGAAGGGATTGTACTGTGGCCATCCCCCTTGGGGGTGATTTCTCACTTTCTATCCATCTGTCTTTCTCTGCCTCTCTGGCGAGCACATGCACCCTATAGCAAAAACAAAAAAGAATTATTTTACTTAACTGTATTCTTCATCATCATTTTATTTTTTTAACTTAACCAGAGAGAGACAGAAAGAGGGAAAGTGAGAAAGCAAATGGCCAGGTCCAGGACTCAAATCATGGTCAGCCATGTGGGAGTCCCACACCTCAACCACCATACCAACTGCTGGCCCCTAGTCTGAGTATTTTCAGACATTTCAGCATTCTGACTGTGACCTATCACATGAAATCAGATATGGAAATTTCTGCTCCTGGTGTCATGTAGGAGCTCAAAAAGTTTCAAATTTTGGAGCATTTCCACTTTTCAGATTAGGGATGCTCGGTCTGTACTTCTTAATCTCTGCAACAGAGACCTTCTATTTGTATTCTATTTCCAATGAAAACTAAGTAGCCCCTCTTTATTTATTTATTTATTTTGGGGTAAGTTATTGCCTTCGGACACATGCACTGAGGGTTGGGTCCAGAGACAGCAAGAGGGAAAGTGAAAAATCACCCCCCAGTGGAGATGGCCAGCCTTCTCCATTCTCCTCCCAGGATTGACACATGCCTGTATTTCAAGCCACTGGGTCAGACTTGAACCACAGTCAGTCAAGAGAATGTAACTGTTATACCATCTGCTGGTCCCAACCACATATATATATACTTGAGAGGTTTTTGCTCTAGGGCGCATGCGCTTGCCAGACAGACAGAAAGAGACAGAGAACGAGAAATCACCCCCCGGGGGGATGGACCGCTGCAATCCCTTCTCCATTCTCCTCTTGGGATCTTGGGCACGCACGCATACGTGCCTGGTGTGAGTTTTAAGCCACCGGATCCGGGACACGAACCACAGTCGACTACATGGGAGTCCAGCAACATAACCATTATGTTAACTGCTGGTCCCAACCCCTCATATTTTAATTGCACCTCCAGCTATTCTTTTTAGTGATGACTTTTTTTAGAGCCGTCTATTAGAAGTCTGTCAACAAACATGTTGCTCAGTTGGTGGCAAAGAAATAACTGTAAGTTGGCAGTTAAGAAGCCTCATAATTGCAACATTTAATACCTCCTGTTGTTCAGGCTGACTCAAAACTACTTAGCTCTCCAGGTGCCACTTTCTGATACAGGCCTGTTAACATAAACATTTAGCAATGGAAACTCCAGAATACTTGCGCCTCATACTTAAAGACCTTTGGATTCTTTGCCACAAGAAAATACACTGAAAACAAAGCAATACATGATTTTGGAATAAATACTCCTTCCCTCTTCACAGTGAATCTTAAATTAGATTTTATGGGATGCTACCTATAAAGGTGTTCTGGGTTAGTACTGGCGCTCCTGATAAATGTTTTCGATCTTATGATGTATCAAAACTGCAGAACAAAATGAGCCAATATGCGAACTAGGGAAAAAAATGGAGTACATAAGCCTTCAGAGGTCGCGGTCTGAGGACCATTCAAGCTTAAGTACACACCCAAGAATGCAGTCCAAAGTGAGCCAGATGTACCACTGTGTTCAATCCGCCCCCAATCACCCAGAATGTTACTGCTGGTGCCCAGGACCCGTGAGCCTTTAACACTGAATTTCCCCAGCCCAGGAAATCAGATTCCCTGGCTCCAAGATTTCACTCTGGTCTTCATACAAGCCTCCAGTAATCTTAACAGCGACTCTGTCAAGCTTCCACCAACCAAAACAAAGTTCACAATACTGTAATGGCAATTTCCTTCAGAACTTAGACTCCCCACCACGCCCTCCAACTAGGCCAAGTTCCCTCTCGTCCTCCGAGAGACGGGAGCACCCCCATCTCTCGGCCCCTCCGCCTGGCAGCTCTACTCACAGACTGACAGTGTCGGGGGGCAGCGGGGCCTCCAGCACCCTCCAGCTCGGCGCGGGCAGTTTCCTGCGACTGCAGTCCAGCACAGGAATGCGGCAGGAGCAGAGCGTGGGGCAGAGGCCTGCCTGGGCGGCGGGCAGCAAAAGGAGGACGGCCTGGGCCAGAAAGAGGAGCCGGGAAAGTGGTCGGGACCGACACCCTAGCAGCTGCCCCTTCCGAACGCCCCGGGGCGCCGCCGCCATTTTCCCCGCGACCTGGACTCGGCCCAGAAGAGCCGCCTGCTAAAAAGGCGGCTCGGCGGAGATGTTTGGCAGCGCGTGACCACCTGAAGCCCTGGCTGTCGCTGTACCCTCTAAAAGCTGGCCAGGGGTAGATGCGGCACGAAGGCGGGGGCGGCGGCGACGGACACACGGCAGAAGCCCGACGGACACCTCTGGTGTCGAGGGACACCCGGCAGAAGCCCGACGGACACCTCTCGCCCGCCCCGCCCCGCGACGCAACGTCCTCACGCACAAAAGTCAGCCAATCGGTGCCACAAAACGAGTTGCGTCGAGGGCGGGGCTTCCTAAGGGGCGGGTCGGAGAAACCGGCCTCCTATAGGAGGAGGCTGTGAAGGTGTTCCGCGACTTCGGGTGTCCACCTGGAGTTCTGTCGCAGTTCTTTCGCTGGGGGGCGCAGTGGCTCCCTAAAAGGGAACGCTCGGGCGAAGTGCTTTGAGTCTGCAGGTATGTCTACTATAGCACAGTAGTAAGAAAGGAGCTTTTATCTTTTGTGGGTTCTAAGAAAGAAGAATGGCTGGAGGGCTGCCTGGCAAGTCGCAGAGCTTCCATCCTAGCTTTGGCGTCCAGAGACGAGCTGGGACTTCCTCTGCTGCCTGCTGCTAGTCTGCTGCTCTTGCTGCTCGCAGATGGGGCGGCAACTCCACCTTTCCAACACAAAGCGTGTTATGCCTATCTGTTTATGCCCCATTATTCATCTGTGCACCTCCTGTTTCCGTTCTATTATAGCTTGGTGTTCACTAAATATTGACGGGACCGCACCTGCAGGCATGTCTGTAGGAAAAATGCCCTTCTTTCCTCCGTTTTGAGGATACTGTCCTAGGTAACACGCTCAGAAAAGTAGGCAGACAAGTAAAGAAGTGTTGAGCAGGCAACAAAGCAAAGACTGGGTGTGAGGAAATTTATCCTGAAGCAGAAGCTCTAGAAACTGTACTAGGAACAGTGAAGTCTGGCCACTTCATGCGCCCTCAGCCGTGTAATATATCCAAGATTATAAGCAAGACTGAGAGTAATGATAGGCTACTTATATGAATATTTCTATACTTTTCAAAGAGCGTTTACATTGGTTACCTTGTCTGGTTCCTCAATTGCTGTTAAATTGGCAAGATAGTTATTGCTGATGAGGAAACAATCCCAGAGAGGTTAAATCGAGTTACCCTAAGGCAGAGGCAAGTTGACATTAGTGTGGGTTCCTGACTTATAAATTTAAAAACTGAGCAGGTTAGGGCTGGCTCCATGAACGATAAGGCAGCCAGAACCCACAAAGCAGACAGTACAGTTGGGATCCCAGCCTAGCAGCTTGAAGAACATTCCAAGAGCATATGAATTTGTCCCCCCAAATCCTAACAGAATGGAGAAGGGATTGCACGTAACCATGCCTTGTGGGGAGTTGACTTTTTCCCCTCTCCTCTCTGTCTCTCTCTCTCTGTCTCTGTCTCTCTCTCTGGCAAGTGTACAGGCACTCTGACCATTATTTTTAATTGAGCAAATTAAGAAGAATGACAATGGGTAGGTCATAGGATAATCTTATAATAGGAAGGAACTGAAGTCCAGCTGGCTTTGTGGCCTGATGGTTAAGGCAGCTGGGTCCCACACAGCCCATGGATTTAGCAGCTTGAGAAACTCCCGGTACGTGTGCCTGCGTACCCCAAATAACAAAAGGCTAGAGAATTGGAGAAGGCATTTCAGCGTGACCATTCCCTGTGGAGGGTGCTTTCTCTTCTCCCTCTCTCTCTCTCTCTGGCCAGCACATGTACCTTCTAGGAAAAAAAAAAAAAAGGTAACTGAAGTCAGTCTTATTTGTGTCAAATTTAGAGTCATAATTATGTAATTATGCTTTTTCAAAACACTTTTTTTCTTTTATACCTTCTAGGAAAAAAAAAAAAAAGGTAACTGAAGTCAGTCTTATTTGTGTCAAATTTAGAGTCATAATTATGTAATTATGCTTTTTCAAAACACTTTTTTTCTTTTATTGCTGTAAGGTGCATACACACTCACCACCAGAGAGACAGAGGGGTGGGAAGGTGAGAAAGCACTCTCTCAGGGCAATGGCCACTCAGCACTTCCTTCTCTTCCATTCTCCTCTCAGGATTTTGGGCACGCATGCACATACGCCAGGCGTGTTTTTGAAACTGGGACTGGAACTTGAACTTCACAGCCGAATGGGATCCAGGCACCTTAACCCCCAATGCCACCTACTGGCCCACTCTTTTCTATATTTTATTTTTGAAATATTTATTAGAAGCAAGGCTATATCAATGCTCCAGTCCAGACCAAACTTGTAAATCCAAGACAGCAGAGTGAAACTTACACTTGGCTTCCCCTGGCTATTAAGCAGGCTCAACAACCTCCAATAAGATACTGGGCATAGGGATGGCATTGGGTATGCATGTGAGTGCCTGGGCTCCCACAGGCTGGAGGACTGCATTGTGATCAGACCCTATGAAAAGGGCTTCTCTCTCTCTCTCTCATTCTTACATGTGTATGCATGTGTTCTATCATGAATAAAGAAAAAAATATAAAAAGAAAGAAGTGAGCAAAGGCAGGAGTCTCTGCAAAAAAAGGAGGGCAGCTTAGTATCTGCATCATAATAGCTTCAGAACTTCTCTATGAAAGGACACACCCAGTTTCAGACAGGTCCACCAGTTTTAGCTTTCTATTTCCTCCCCAATAAATGGTTACCCCAGTTAGAGTCCTTCTAGCTCTTAATTCCTTCTGCACATTATTTTGACCACTCTGATAGTGCTTATACACACCTGATGGCACTTATATGCAACTGGTAGTGCTTATATGCAACTTATATGTATTCGTATTACCCATATTGGTTAGCACAATACCCAGCACATAACAGGCACTCAATAAATGTCCGATGAATTAATAGATAATGAAATTATCCTATATTCCATGTAATAAAATTACTTAAATATTTTTAAATAAATTTTATTATGAAAAATGTCAACATACAGCAATAGGGGGCCAGACTGTGGCACAATGGTAATATAAACCTCTGTGAGGTTGGACCCACATGGGAAGGTTTGGGGTTCATTTCAGAGTTCTCCCTAAACAGGCACCACAAGCCCATGATCTGGGGCTGACTGAGGCTGAGGTGGATTGTGGCATGAAGACTGTGTTGAGGGTGCCTTTCTCTCATTCTCTCTTTCTCTTTGTCTCTTTCTCTCATGGAAGTAAGAAATAAAGATGGAAGGAAGGAAGGAGGGAAGGAAGGAAGGAAGGAAGGAAGGAAGGAAGGAAGGAAGGAAGGAAGGGGGGCCAGCAGATAGTATAGCAGTTACATCATATTCCCACATGACTGACTACAGTTTGAATCCAAGACCCAGTGGCTTAAAACTCGTGCCGAGCACATTTGCATGTGTGCCCAGCATCCTAAGAGGAGAATGCAGGAGAAGGGATTGTGGTGTGGCCATCCCCTCTCTCTCTCCCTCCCTCTCCCTCTCCTTCTTCCTCTCCCTCTCCAGAGAATGCACGTGTCCTAAGGCAAAAACTTCTCAAAAAAAAAAAAAAAGGCAAGAAAAAACTTTAAAAATGTATAAAGGGCTGGCCCTGTGGCACAGTGGTTAAGCCCTGCGTGTGGGGAGCTGGATCCCACTTGGCTAAGTTTCAAATTCAGACACGTGTGTGTGCATGCCAGAAATCCTGATGTCCTGGGGAAACCGAGGGAAAAGGACTGTAGCATGGCCATGCCCATCGAGGGGTATGCTCGCTTCTGCTTGCTCTCGCTCATGAGAATACCTAGCCTCTGGCAATTAAAAAAATTATTTTAGAACTATGTGTGTGTGTGTGTGTGTGTGTGTGTGTGTGTGGCAAGAAAAAGAATCCTAGAATAAATCCTCATAGTACCAGCTGGTGGTGGATACGGCAGCTGGATCCTGGACCTGGCAGGTTGAATAAGACTCCGAGTGTGTTGGGTATGTGTGCCCAAAATCCTAAAAGGAGGAAGAAATGGAGGAGAAAGGATTATAGCATGGCCATCCTTCCTGGCGGGTGCTTTCTCACTTTCTCAATCTCTCTCCAGTGAGTGCACATGCCCTATAGCAAAATTTTGAAAATAAAAAAAAAAAATTTTAGGGAACCAGCAGTTAGCGTAATGGCTATGTCGCTGGACTCCCATGTAGTCGACCGCGGTTCATGTCCCGGACCCGGTGGCTTAAAACTCATGCCAGGCATGTGTGCGTGTGTGCCCAAGGTCCCGAGAGGAGAATGGAGGAGAAGGAGTTGTGGCGTGGCCATCCCCCCTGGGGGGTGATTCCTCGCTTTCTGTCTCTATGTCTCTCTCTGTCTGTCTGGCAAGCGCACGCGCCCTATAGCGGAGAAAAAAAAAAACCTCTCCAAAAAAAAAAAAGTTTACAGAACAAACCCTCATATCTAACTAGATTTACCAAGTACATGTCTTTAGTAGAGTCTAGTGATTCTTTCTCATTACCAATGGAGTAAAGGGTTTCTATGTTTATTGCTTTAGAATTGTCTAATCAGCCCTTGGATGCCACAGTACCTGCACAGAGTCTTTAGAGTTCAGTTGCATCCGTTAAGTGTAGGATACTCCAGCTCCAGACTCAAAATCAAAACAAACCAAAATCTACTCATTTTGGATCTCTTATCCAGACTTTGGTATAAATCTCATTCCTTTGAACCAGCCAGGTGGCATGGTGGTGAAGACAGACGGCTGGATCCCACATGGCCAACTATGTGAAAAACACACTGGGTGCATATGCAGATGTGCCCAAAATTCTGAGAAGAGGAGGGAGGAGAAAGGAAAGGGATTGCAACATGGCCATCTCCTTCAGGGGTGGGTGCCTTCTCATTCCCCTCTCTCCCTCTCTTTCTTTCTGTCTCTCTCTGGCAAGCACACGTGCCCTATAGCAAATTTTTTAAAATTATTTTTTGATCCCCTTAAAATTTAGCTGCCCTACATCCCATCCCGTTATCTCAGAACTTGACTCTGCAAAGTCATGGCCTACTAACCCGATCGATTCCATTCTCTCAAACTAGGGATGTCAGGATCACCGCTTCCTCCTCTTTCTTTCCTGTCACATCCAATCAGTGGCTGGACTCAGCTGATTTCCCCTCAGGAATGTCTGAGATGGCTCCCTGCTCTCTCGCCCCACTGTTACTGTATTCTGATCTTCATCTCTCATTACTATTGCAGAATCCTCTGAACTCATCTCATCTTCAGCCTCTCCCTCCTCCCAGCCTCTGAACTGTTAC